TAAGATATATAGCCCCAGCTAGGTGCTACTTTATAGGATGCCTAAAGTTAGACTTGTGTTCATGGAAATGTATATATCAGCTGTGTTTGCTATGAAAATATTTAGATTAATTAAGATCTTTAGTAATTCAATAAAATGTGGGGGGAAGACAGTATAGAAAGTAAACATAGATATCAGAGACAGTGTGGGAGCAGAGTGGGAGATGGCAGAGGGTAAGAGATAGGGAATTAAGGATGGGGGAAAAGAAAGCAAAACATACAGAAAACAAGAAATGGAAAATTATCTGTTAACAATAACATGTTTGTTGATGTGCTTGATTAAGACAATATACAGTGTACTCTGGATGGAAAATCTCATTTTGTATGCTGTAATGATGTACAGTGAATAACTGTAAATCAATAAATTTAAATTAAAAAAAAAAAGTGACCCATAATTAAGCATTATTAAATCGGTCCCCTAAAAACAGATTTCTTAGAGCAAGCTGTGAATTACTGGTACCAACAGAACCAAAAGACATTTTTTTTTTGAGAGAGAGATTTTTGTTGTAGGGTACGTGAGTTCACCAAGGAGAGACAGAGACAGACAGACAACAGAAAGTCAGAAATCATCCCCAGGGGTGATGGCCATGCTGCAATCCCTTCTCCATTCTCCCTTCGGGATTTTGGACATGCACACACACACGCCTGATGTGAGTCTTAAGCTGCTGAGTCTAGGACTCAAACTGTGGTTGACCACATGGGAGTCCAGTGATATAATCATTTATACCATTGCTGGTCCCTGGAACTAAAAATTATTTTAAACCAGCTTCTCAGATTATAACCAATCTCACCCTAAGGTCATTCTAAAAATATTGGGGGGGAGAGGGCTCCTGAAGCAGCTGCACATGTAGAATTTTTCTCTACTTTTTAGGTAGGGTGAGAATAAATCAGACTGGATGATGTAAATTTACCACAGGTATTTAAACATCATGCAACAGTGCAGTTTGATAGGACTGTCCAGGCTGCTTTCCCCCAGGCCAGCTGGCAGTACATCACAACCGAGATGGTAAGGGATTACACACGACTTCGCCTGCTACAGTTTTGTGGGGGGGAAAAAAAGGAGGGAATTATAGGGTTACCTTTCTAGCAGATTGGTCCTGGTGAGAAGCCAACATAGGTTCTTACCCAACTGGCTTCTCATGGTTTTAGAAAATGGGGGCCAGAAACAGGCTAGGCTTTGACAGGAGGGCTGACTGCCAGCTCCCTTGAGAAGCAGAGTGAACCAGCTCCTGAGCTCACCCTCTCTTCTTGTTTCTTCCCCTCCTCTGTATGCTTCTGCAATGCCATTTTGAGGGACTCTCTGATGAGCTGGATTTCAACTTCTGAGGCAGAGAGTTTCTTTTCAAGCTCCATCTTTTCTTTGCTCAAAGCTTCTGTCTTCTGCGCAAACTGAGCACGTAAGAAGGTGTTCTCTCGCTGTAATTCCTGCCAGAGAGATTCTTAATATAAAACTGTCCCCTCTCCTTACAGTCCATATACTCTACTTACTCCCAGCACATCTCATGGTCAAGTATAATCTTTCTCCAAGAATTTCTTCAAGCAGTGCTTCTCCAAGAGTGGTCCTAGGACTAGAAGCTAGAATTTGTTAGAAGTGCAAATTCTTTAGCCTAACTCCTAGGCTCACTGAATCAGAAATTCTGGGCCTGGGTCCCCATAATCCATGTTTTAATGAGCCCCTCCAGGTGACTAACAGTGAGAACTACTGAAAGCCATGCCCAAGGGGCTGTAGCAACTGGAAGGAACACAGGACAAGACCTCAGGAGGCCTGAGCTCCAGGCTTGCTCTCCCTCCACTTACTCTCTCTGTAATCTCAGGCAGGTTCTTTCTCTCTCACGGACTTAAATTTTCTTCACCAGTAAAGTAGAGGACTGAACTGTGTGTATCTCAGGGTCTTTCCCACTCTAATGTTCTAACTCTATGAGACAGAACGTGCCTTACTAGACTCATCAGGTGGCAAAGCCAGTACTATCATCTGTCAAATACCCATTACTCAAAGCTCAAACTGCAGAAGTTGGACAACAGAGCAGGCTCAGACTCTGACCACAGTGAGAATATAATTTTCTTCAGTTGCTCCTAGACACAGAAGAATAAAAATGGCTCTAAATCCCCCATTATCTCTGCTTCTCCTTTCATTTGGCCAGGGCTGGCAGATTAAAACTTCTCAGAACATGGTCCAACCCTAAGACTTACTATCTCCCTGATTCTGCCTTCCTTTTCTCCCATGTATGTCCTGGTACCAAGGCATCTGGACTTTTACCTGGTTCTACCTTTAAGCCTCTTCTACCCCCGCCCCAACCCAGGGCACAGCCGAGGATGCTTTGTAATTAGGGTGTTTACTTTTGGAAGTACTCTTGCTTGATCCCGTTATACCTCCTAGTGGTGCCAAACATAAGGAAGACACGGAGTTATGACAAGCAGGAGTGTCCTGGCTGCCAGTGCTTACCTGTAGCCTCAGTAAACAGACATCTCCAAGGGGCGCAGGGCGGCCCAAAAGGGCACTGTGGACTTGGAGTTCACTCTCTCGCACTTTCTGCTCCAGCTGAGAGATGTGCTTCCTCTGCCTGCAACAGCCAGAAGTCTCAGGTCTGGGGCTCTAACACTAATCCCCTCCAAATGACTCCCTACTTTCCTCAGCCGGACAGATAACAATCCTGACTAAACAAAGACCTTGGAATCTGGAAATTAGTTTTGCTGAAGGAAGCAAGGTAAAGGAGAAAGGTGACTGAGGAGAAATGAGGAAACATCAGCTGCTATGAATTGGCTATCCCCTTTAGGCACTCCCCAGAGCCTGCAGATACACACAACTGGTACATCCCATTAGTCAGATCCAAGACTAGGCTGCTTATCGACCTAGCTCTACCATGGGGCAACGTGTGGGCCTAACCAGAAGGGGATGCATGCCCTCGGGAAGACCTCATTAGGTGTCCTAAGTGGGGCCTGGGAGGGAAGAGGCTGGCTCAGTGCACCCTTACTTGTCAATGAGGAGCTCCTTTTCCTTCAGAAGGTGCTCGTTACTGTTCAAGATGCTGATCCACTGTGCTGGCTCTAAGGTGGGCAGTGAAGGAGCAAAAGCTGTAGGATGATGGCAGATGGCTCCGTTCTGAAGCTGAAAGACAAACAGGCCCTTGATCCTGACCACAGGTACCCAAAAATACATTAGCAGAACCCAGTTGGCTGTGTAGTCAAGCTCCAGTTTGGCTTGGCCTGAGGAGGCCCAATGTTTATGAAATAATTTTAGCTCTGATGCATGACTGGAAAGAACTGGCCAGGGAAATTACCGCCAACTGAACACTGCCTGCTCAGAAAGGCTCTGGTTTCTAAGAAAAGGTCAGTGTTCTTTTATTATCTGGTAAGAGGCAAGCCAGGAGCTAAGTCGTCCTCACCAATCAATAAAGGAGAATATGTCCTGCTCCCTCCCTTTGAATGCTTTAGCAGCACAGGAACAACAAAAACAAAAAACAAAACAAAACAAAAACTACAAGTGATACAGCAGAAAGAACATATGGGTCAAAGAGTTTTTCAGCCCTAGGTCTGCCACTTGCCAGCACTGTGATCCTGCACAGATCACTTATTCTAAAAACCTGTTTTAGTTTCTGCACTTACCTCATCAGGATGCTGTAAGAATTAAACAAGAATCTTACATGGGGACCAGCAGTCAGCGTAATGGCTAGGTTGCTGGACTCCCACGTAGTCAACCGCGGTGGCTTAAAACTCATGCCGGGCGCGTGTGCATGCGTGCCCAAGATCCCGAGAGGAGAATGGAGGCGAAGGGATTGCGGTGTGGCCATCTCTCTTGGGGGGTGATTTCTCACTTTCTATCTCTCTGTCTCTCTCTGTTTGTCTGGCGAGCGCACGTGCCCTGTAGCAAAAACCTCGCCAAAAAAAAATCTTACATGGAAGAACCTAGTCTAGTGACTGGTATATAGTAATTATGCAATCAGAGTTAGATCTTATCTTTTTAGGTTTTCCCTTATAACCCTCTACTTTGGAGAATCTTTCGGGGGTTTAAATAAAATATCAACAGATTCAATGGCCAATAGTTCATAAGCCTCTGTCTACAAACATCTTCCTTCTATCTTATTATTTTTTTTAATTTAAAAAGAGTTATTTTCTTCTTCTTCTTCAATTTGACCAGAGAGAGACAGAGAGATGGAGATTGGGAAAGCAAGCCACTAGGTCCAGTACTTGAAACACAGTTGGCCATGTGGGAGACCAGAATCTTAACTAGCACACCACTTGCCAGCCCCAATCTTCCTTCTTTCTTATCAAAAATTTTCTTTTGAGTCAAAGATTATAGGACAAAGGCTATAGAGTTCTAAGAACCACACGATACCTACAAAACCCCAGGTAAGAAGGGCCTCTACCTGCATTTGCTCCATCTGTAAACGGATCAACTCTAGCTGCTGCCGACAAGTGCTGAGTTCACAAGATTGTTCACGGGGATGCCAAGGGTCAGGACTCGGTTGCCACACCTGAGAGGATAAAGGCTTGGAGAGCCCAGGAGCAGGCTGTAGTCCCAAAGGGAGCACCCTGCTGCTGCTAGGGTGTGGTCCATTCCGCTCAAATACCGCCCCACTGCCCGGTGCTTTCTTAGCCTCAGGCAACACTTTGTAGAACTCCTTGTTTGTATCGGTTCTGGGGTTGTGGAAGTGGACTCGATAGTGGGGATCTGAATAAAGTGTCTCCATCACTGTCGACTGATTAAGGGTAGATTCCATGCTAGGAATATCAAACTTCCTCATCTCTTCCTCTCGCTCATGGCCCACTGCTGGAAACCAAGACTGCTCAATTCCATTTTCTCCTGTAGCACCACAGAGATACAAGAGATCTCTAGATAGGCCTGAAGAACGTTTCACTGCACCAAAGTCTCCATTTCTTGTCATCCCCACACTTTCAGTCAACCCTGACAAAGGGAGTTTAGAGGAAGCAGGTCCGGCAGATGTAGAATTCGGCTTGGCGGGAGAAGTCCCCAAGGTAGAAGGCATCACATGGGCTGTTGGAATGGTTATGTGGCTTTTGATGGGCTGGAAAGAAGGACTGCCACTTGAGCTGCAAAAATCTGTGGAGAGAATAGTCTTCCATGAGTCAAAATCGAAGCGGCAAGCTTTCTTGAGTTTGGTGGCTATGCCAGATGTTCTCTGGCTATCCTGAGACCAGACAGAGAGGGCACTATCTTCTGAAGTATCAGGAAGAGAAACAGCAACCTAACTGGGAGACGTGTGTTCCAGGATCCCAAATGCCAATTCACAAAGCAACAATGCCTTCACTTTCAGCTTCTACTCTGTCCTCTGTACTTGAATAATCTTGCCAGCCAACAAACAAAACTGAAAACTAAACTTTAAAAAAAAATCACTTACTTAATGGAAGTGGATTAGGTACGACTCTTCTGGAAGCTGGGCAACTCTAGGCTCTCATCTAATCTAATAAAAATATCCTTTCTGAGGGCTGCCAGAATCCTCTGTGACCTCCAAAAGCTCACAAGTGTAGGTGAACAATGCCTCTAAGCTGCCCAAAAAATAAGGCAAACTAGATAGTCTCGCCCAGTACCCAGCACAGGAGTATGGCATCTGAGCCAGGATTCTGTTCCTTCCCGCACCCCAGACCTGACTGCCTGGATACGTGCAGTTATTCTTAGTAACTCTCAGGTTTCATCTGAGCACAGTGCACACACTCAAGTGGGCACATACTAAAATCCTCTAGTTCATATTCTGCCTTTCATTTACCCCCATGTCTGAATCCAACTGCAATTTTTAAAAATTTTTACTTTTTAAAAAATTGCTGGAGGACACAAGTGCTCATCAGAGAGAGACAGAGAGACAGGAAGAGAGGAGAGAGGGAGAAAGTACCCCCCAATTAGGCATGGTCATACTGCAAGTCTTTCTCTTCTATTTCTCCATCCTGTCAGGACTTAGGGCATGCATGCACACATGCCCAGCAATGTTTTCAAACCACCAGGGGCCAGGATTTGAACCATAGTTGGCCATGGGGCTGGCCCCCAACCGTGATTTTTAACCGTTCCTTCAGACAGAACTTACATTTCCTTCAGCTCCTGCCTGGTCTTGGGAAACAACTCTCTGATTAGCCCTGCCCTGCAGGTTCACATTTCTACCTATTTCCAACTTTCAAGTGCTACTCCAAAGAGTAGGTCTCAAAATTAATTTGCCAGGGCAGTGGGGCTGTGAGCAAACAAGACAGAAGTGTGAGGTAACAAAGCTATTACCTTCAATAGGCAGAGAACTGAACAGGAATATCAATTTCTTGCCTTTTTATCATGTCTAGTATTCTTTTCCAAATTAACCACATCTACCATAAAGAGACTACCATTTCTCCTTTTTCTTTCCACCAACCAAAGTATTCAGTTGATGAGAACAGACATAACTTTTCCCAGAAATACAAGAATATAGATCAGCTGCCATCTCACTTAGCAGCCTTCTAAAAACATGGGTAAGCCAAAATATCTCTTAAAATGAAGGTACAAAGTATCTAATTTCCTATATTCCTATAGTCAGATGATTTTGGGTATATATAGAAAGCCATTCTAAAAAAATCACCATACAACAAACAAAAAGGGACAAGAGGTTTGTGCAGAGGTAAAACATGAAAATCTGCAAGGCAATCTCACATGGCAAGTTTGCCAATACAAGCCCAGAGTATGCCAGGCACATGCCTGCCCATGTTCCAGAGCTGGCTGAAGGCAGGGGGTAGACTCCAGGGTCAGGATGTAATGAGCGTATGTGTACTTTCTCTCTCACAGAAGAAATGAATAAGCTTAGCTGTATAGTGCAAAGATTAAATGCTGTGCAGAGGATGCTGGATCGCACTTGGCTGACCATGGTTCGAATCTTGGCTCTGGCAGCTTGAAAAGAAATGTCAGGCACGTGTGCAGGATCCTGATGGAACAGAGAAATAGAAGGAAAAAAAAGACTATGGCATGACCAGGCCCCACTGAGGGGTACTTTCTCTCTCTGATGTGCACATACGCTCACTTCAGCAAAACAAAAACAAGAACAGAAACCTGGTAAAGGGAAACTTTTAGCAAGATTAATCTAGCAGCAGAGGGAAAGACTTGAGGCCAAGAAGTCTATTAGAAAGTTGTTTCAGACAGAATATACAGCAGAAATTAAGACAAAGGGATCATATGTGAGAATTGTTTTCAAAACAATGATTTATTTATTTAATTCCATTTGTTATTATTTATTTTTAAAATTTGACCAGAGAGAGAGAAAGGGAAAGCGAAAAAGCAAGCTGCCAGGTCCAAGACTTGAACCATGGTCAGCCATGTGGGAATCAAGCACATTTAACTATCACACCACCTGCCAGCCCCCATATATGAGAATTATGGGGTTAGAAACCAGATTTCTTGGGACCAGCAGATAGCATAATGGCTACCTGGCTGGATTCCCATGTAGTTGACTATAGTTCAAGTCCCAGACCCAGTGGCTTCAAATTCATGCAGGTACATGTGTGTGCATGCCCAAAATTCTGAGAGAAAAATGGAGAAGGAATTGCATCATGGCCATCCTCCCAGGGGTGATTTCTTACTTTCTAACAAGTGCACGTGCCTATAATAAAAATCTAAAAGGTAAATAAATAAATAAGAAAGCAGACTCCTTGACTAAAGAGACTAACATTATTCTGGAAGTCATAATTCACACAAAATATAATTTAAAAATGGCAGGGCAAGCCCATGGTGTGGTGGCAAAAGCACTAGATCCCACATAGCTTTTGAGTCCTGGATCTGGGGGCCTGAAAAACATACTGGGGGTGGGGGGTAAATACTGGGTGTGTGTGTGTGTATGGGCTTGTCCAGATTCCTGAGAGGAGACTGGAGGAGAAGGGATTGTGGTGTGGACATCCCTGCTGGAGGTGATTTCTCACTTTCCCTCTCTCTCTGTCTCTCCAGCAAGTACATGTACTCTACAGGAAATAGAAAAAGAAAAAAGAAAAAAAAAAAAATGACAACACACACTGCCAATCAAATCATTAGCCCAAACTTACCCTCTGCAATGTCTGAGCATGATGTGCCAATGGCTGTGTCCCCACTGTCAGCTACACTTGAACAGCGGCTGAAGCGGCTCCGAAAGGACTCTGAGATAACTGGAGTCTGCCACTCAGTCCCCAGGGAACTGCCCTTCTGAATCACACTGGAACCTGAAATAGGTAGCGTTTCCCACCTTAGTATAATCAGATGATACAACTCCATGAGATCATTTTCTAAAAAAATCACTTATGCCTATGAGAAAATAGCAGCACCCCACCCTTTTTTCTCCAGTGCCTATTTTAGCTATTCTGAGTTAGTTGATTTTAAGTGAAAATAGCAGAGAGGTGAGAATATGCAAAGACAGAAATAAGACCTACCGAGACCAGCAGTTAGCGTAATGGCTATGTCGCTGAACTCCCATCTAGCCAACCACAGTTCGAGTCCCAGACTCAGTGGCTTAAACTCACACCGGGCACGTGTGCGGGCGTGCCCAAGATCCGGAGAGGAGAATGGACGAGGAGGCATTGCGGCGTGGCCAACCCCCTTTCTCGCTTTCTGTCTCTGTCTCTCTCTGTCCTTCTGGCAAGTGCATGAGCCCTAGAGCAAAAACCTCCCCCCCCCCCAAAAAAAGAAATAAGACCTACCAAGAATCCAGGAGTTCTGGAACAGAAAACAGCCATATTTAGTAGAAACTACTATTCACTGAGACCTAGAAGTCACAGCAATTTATAAACATCATCTTTTTTTTTCTTCAAAGAATTATTTATTTAATTTTATTTATTCAATTTATTTTAATTTGGTGAGAGAGAGAGAGAAAGTGAGAAAGCAAGCCACCAGGTCCAGGACTTGAACCATGGTCAGCAACGTGGGAGTGTCCGGCGCCTTAACCACCATGCCACCTGCTGATCCCTATAAACATCATCTTATCAGACTATGTATAAAAATGTTTCCCTATTTTACAGAGGAGAGAGTTAAGATTTGAACCTAAGTCTTTCTTATTCCAATATTCACATTTTTCCTCTTACAAAGTTTCTAAATGGATGCTTTTGGCATTCAGGGCATGCCAATTCTTCAATGTAGTCTACACATTATAGAATGGTTTGGTATTCCTGGTCCCTGCCCTTAAATGCGAACAGCAACTTTACTTAATCCCATCTTCACTGTGGGATCATTAATAGTTCCAAATGCTTCCTAGAGAAATAGGCAGTTCAGTCTCATGATGAGAACAATTGCTTGATAAAGCCAGGGTCAACGGGTGAACCCAGATCAAGGTGAATTTTGAAAGTCAATCTGAAGAACTTAAGACTATCCTGGGGGCCTGCCAGGTGGCATGCTGGTTAAGGTGGCTGGATCCCAAGTGGCTGATTGTATGGTTTGAGCCCTGTTACTGGTGCCTTGAAAAATACACCAGGCACATGTGTGTAGATAACTACCAAGAGGAGAATGGAGTAGGGACTGTGGCATGATCATAGGGTGCTTCCTCACTGTCTGCCTCTGGCAAGTACACAAGTTTTACAGTAAATTAAAAAAAAAAAAAAAGAAAGCAAAAGACTATCTGGTGAAGTTCCCATGTTGTAGTGGTTGAGGGAGTTAGATTCCAAGTGACCAACCACAGTTTGAATCTCAGCCCCAGTGGCTTGAAAGAGTGCTAGGTATGTGTACATTTTTGCCTCAAATCCTGACACACAAGAGAAATGAACTGTGGCATAATTATGCTCCATTTGGGGGTGCTTTCTCTCTCTCTCTCTGTCAGTAAGTATGCCCTTTAGCAATTAAAAAAAAAAAGACTTTATCTTGAGGACAATGCAAACAAACCACTAACATTTCTGAGCAATCAAGGGGAAAAAAAGACTAATGAGATTACTCGACTTTAAAACTTGGTGTTTTGAGGAGGCCATGCAGACAACACAAGCTGGTAAAGAGGCTGTCTCCCATGGCCTGGGCTGGGAAGAAACGACAAGAAAAGGCCAGTGGTTTACTAACTCTCCTTGTGTCGTTTTACTGGTCTGGAGTTAATTTCTCTGCCATGAGTTTTACTGTTATTGCGGTACCTTGCAAGGGTAAAATATAACCCCCAACCATTACAATAAAGCCAATTAGTGATCTTGTAGGAATGTGATTCCCTAAGAAGAGGCCAGGAAGTTTGAGACTCCCCCACTGTCTAAGCCAAAATTAACATATGTTAGGTCAAAATAGTATAAGCCAAAGTAGCATCAGTAGCATATGAAAACTAAGTTTAAGGCTAGTTTTATGTATATACCCCTTGTTAAAGCTACAGGCCAAAGTTAGCTCGTGCTAGGCAAAGTCAGCACATCCACCCAGAGATAAAACAAAAGAACTCA